ACACGAGAGACTCCACAAGAGTCAAAGAGTCAAATATAAAAGTATAAAAGAGTAAAAGTATAAATCTTTACTCACGTTGTTGTTGTTGTTACGGCGACGGTGGCGGTGAAAGGGGGCGGAGCCTGTCACATGAATCCAATCACAGATAACGACATTAAAATAAAACACACGACGGACGACAGACGAGTATTTACTCCTCCTCCTCTCTCTCCTCTCTCTCTCTCTCTCTCTTCTCTCTCTCTCTCTCTCTTCTCTCTTCTCTCTCTCTCTGGTGAAGTCTGCTCGTTTTGTGACGGAACAGTCAGACTTTTATTAAATCCCGTTGTCATGGGAATTTGGGAATTTGGGAATTTGGGCCCCGGACCTGAAACACGAGCGACGAAATACGACCGACAATATTCTGAGAACAGAGAGAGAGACGGAGAGAGAGAGAGAAGAGAAGAGAAGAAGAGAAGGAGAGAAAGAAGGAGAGAGAGACGGAGAGAAGTAGCGAGGGATGAGGAGAGAGAGAGGGGGGGGGGGGGGGGGGGGTGAGTTCCATGTGAGACCTTTTGTTCTGGGATAAAGAGATAAATCCACAGCGTGCACGTGAGGAGCGTGCACGTGAGGAGCGTGCACGTGAGGAGCGTGCACGTGAGGAGCGTGCACGTGAGGCGCGCGCACGTGAGGAGCGCGCACGTGAGGAGCGTGCACTTTCACCTCCTCGGTGAAGTCGCTCCGTCAGACGCACGACCACAAAAAAACTCTCCTCTCTAAACCAGGACTAACCCAGAACTAAACCAGGTCTAAACTAACCAGGTCTAACCAAAACCAGAAACTAAACCAGGTCTAAACTAAACCAGAAACCAGGTAAACTAAACCAGAAACTAACTAAACTAAACCCAGGTCTAAACCAGAACTAACCCAGGTCTAAACCAGGTAAACCAGGTCTAAACCAGAACTAACCCAGGTCTAAACCTGAACTAAACCAGGTCTAAACCAGGAAACTAACTAAACCAGAACTAAACCAGGTCTAAACCAGAACTAAACCAGGAAACCAGGATAAAACTAACCAGGTCTAAACCAGAACCAGTAAACCAGGTAAACCAGGAAACTAAACCAGGAAACTAAACTAAACCCTAACCAGACTAAACCCAGGTCTAAACCAGAACTACCAGAACTAAACCAGGTCTAAACCAGAACCCAGGTAAACCAGGTCTAAACCAGGTAAACTAAACCAGAACTAAACCAGAAACCAGTAAACCAGGAAACCAGAACTAAACCAGAACTAAACCAGGACTAAACCAGGAAACCCAGAACTAAACCAGGTCTAAACCAGAAACTAAACCAGGACTAAACCAGTAAACCAGAACTAAACCAGGACTAAACCAGAACTAAACCAGGACTAAACCAGGTCTAAACCAGGACTAAAGAGAGACACAGAGAGTTTTTTTTGCTCTTGAACTTTTAAATTCGGTGAAACTTTTGCAAACACTTCAAAGTTTAAAGAGAAAAGAAAACTCACGAGACACGGCGCTGATGCGGGTCCAGAGGAGCCAAGACCTGCTTTAGACCTGGTTTAGTTCCAGTTCAGATCAGGTTTAGTCCTAGTTTAGTCCTGATTTCTTCAGACCCGGTTTAGTCCAAAAGACGCGGGACAAAGCGCGTCAGACGCAGGTGAAACGGCGCCGTGACTGAGCAGACGGAACCGTGCAGACTCGACTCAGACTCAGACTCGGCTCAGACTCAGACTCAGACTCAGACTCGGCTCAGACTCAGACTCGACTCAGACTCAGACTCGGCTCAGACTCGCTCAGACTCACTCAGACAGACTCGCTCAGACTCAGACTCGACTCAGACTCAGACTCGAGACTCACTCAGACTCGGCTCAGACTCAGACTCAGAGACTCAGACTCGACTCAGACTCGCCTCAGACTCAGACTCAGACTTCAGACTCAGACTCGACTCAGACTCGCCTCAGACTCAGACTCGACTCAGACTTCAGACTCAGACTCGACTCAGACTCGACTCGGCTCAGACTCAGACTCGACTCAGACTCGCCTCAGACTCAGACTCGGTTCAGACTCAGACTCGGCTCAGACTCGACTCTCAGACTCAGACTCGGTTCAGACTCAGACTCGGCTCAGACTCAGACTCGGCTCAGACTCAGACTCGGCTCAGACTCAGACTCGGTTCAGACTCAGACTCGGCTCAGACTCAGACTCGGTTCAGACTCAGACTCAGACTCAGACTCAGACTCGGCTCAGACTCAGACTCGGTTCAGACTCAGACTCGGTTCAGACTCGCAGACTCGACTTTCAGACTCGGCTCAGAGACTCGGTTCAGACTCGGTTCAGACTCGGACTCGGTTCAGACTCGGTTCAGACTCGGCTCAGACTCGGTTCAGACTCAGACTCGGTTCAGACTCAGACTCGGTTCAGTCTCGGACTCGGTTCAGACTCGGCTCAGACTCGGCTGAGACTCAGACTCGGTTCAGATTCAGTTCAGATTCGGTTCAGACTCGGTTCAGACTCGGTTCAGACTCAGACTCAGACTCGGTTCAGACTCAGACTCGGTTCAGACTCAGACTCGTTCAGACTTTCAGACTCGGTTCAGACTCGGTTCAGACTCAGACTCGGTTCAGACTCAGACTCGGTTCAGACTCAGACTCGGTTCAGACTCGGTTCAGACTCAGACTCGGTTCAGACTCAGACTCGGCTCAGACTCGGTTCAGACTCAGACTCGGCTCAGACTCGGTTCAGCCCCTCTGTCTGTCCTCTGTCCAAACTCAAGTTTTTTTACACACAAAAACAAAGGGACAGACTTGATTTAAATTCATTTGAGTTTTATTTCATTTCTTAAATTTTTTACAAAGTGTCAGTTCGTTTTGAGACACAGTACGGAGACGTTTCATGTAACGTACAGTCAAAGTTTTACACACGATCATTTGTTCAATTAGATTTAGAAAAAAAGTTTGAATTTAAATTTTTTAAGTGTACTTGATCCATGTGTTTCAAATTCAGAATAAAAATGTCTTTAAAATATTCAACACAAATATTTTCAAACAATCGATCCTGATTGAGCGAGGAGGGCGGAGAGGCTGTTTCTGATTGGCCGTTCTCATCTGGGGGCGGGGTTTGAGGCTCATTCTGACCAATCAGATCGCTTCATTGCACCTGTTTTTTATTTTTATTTTTTTTTTTTTTTCGGATCAACTTTGGATCGGTGCTTCTGCCTCGGCATCTTGGACCTTTGCTGCGATTTTTTTTTTTTGCTGTGACTTTTACACTCTCAATTTTGACGGTTTAATTTGAGGGTTTGAAAATATTTGCGCTGAATATTTAAATACTTTTAAACACTTTTCAAATTCAAAATCTGATGAAAAACAAATATCCTCCATAAGATTTCAAATTATCTTCCATAAATTCAATAAATACCACAAATTCCCCCAAATTATCTTTAAAAATTTTCAATAAATTCCCCAAATTATCTTCCATAAATTTTATAAGTTACATAAATTCTCCAAAACATCTTCCATAAATGCAATAAATTTCCCAAATTATCTTCCATAAATTCCCAAATTTCTCAAATGATCTTCCATAGGTTCCATAAATTCCCCAAATTATTGTCCAAAAACTCAATAAATTCACCAAATTATCTTCCATAAATTCCATAAGTTACATAAATTCCCCACATTATCTTCAAAAAACAAAAGAACACCATAAAAATACCATAAATTCGCAAATAATATTCCATAAATGCCATAAATTCTCAAATCATCTTCCATAGATTCCATAAATTCCCCAAATTATCTTAAAAAAACAGTAAATAAATTCCCCAAACTATCTTCCATCTTTTTCTTTCCAAATTATCTTTCAAAAATTTCCCAAATGATCTTCCATAAGTTCCATAAATTTTGCAAATTATCTTAAAAAAAAAAAAAAAAAAACACCATAAAAATACCATGAATTTGCAAATGATATTCCATCAATGCCATAAATTCCCCAAAATACCTTCAAAAAAATTTAAACAATTCCCCAAATTATCTTCCATAAATTCATCAAATTACATTCCAAAAATTCCATAAATTCCATAAATTCCCAACCACAGAATCACCAACAGTTTTTCTTTCAGCCTTTAAAAACCTCCCACAGATTTAAAATGATGTGATTCTATTTTGACTCAAACTGAGGGAGAGGGAGTATTATACCTGTGTGGTATTAAAGAGGGAGTATTATACCTGTGTGGTATTAAAGAGGGAGTATTATACCTGTGTGGTATTAAAGAGGGAGTATTATACCTGTGTGGTATTAAGAGGGAGTATTATACCTGTGTGGTATTAAAGAGGGAGTATTATACCTGTGTGGTATTAAAGAGGGAGTATTATACCTGTGTGGTATTAAAGAGGGAGTATTATACCTGTGTGGTATTAAAGAGGGAGTATTATACCTGTGTGGTATTAAAGAGGGAGTATTATACCTGTGTGGTATTAAAGAGGGAGTATTTACTGGAACACATCACATATTTAGATCACCGTGTTCCTTTTATTGTTTTCTAAAAGTTAAATTCACCCAAAACGTATTAACATGTTCTACGTCACTAGGCTAAGTCACTCCCCCTTCAGAGCTCTATCCCAACACACTCAGTGTGTGTCCCACTAATGAAACTCCTGCACGTCACATCAGGTTTGTCCAGTCGCTGTGGACAGTTTTGTGTCATGTTTTTGTGGATTTATGGGGTGGGTGGAGCGGTAGGGCATCCGGGTTAGTTGTTCATGGGGTGGTAGCGGTAGGCATCGGGTTAGTTGTTCATGGGGTGGGTGGAGCGGTAGGGCATCCGGGTTAGTTGTTCATGGGGTGGGTGGAGCGGTAGGGCATCCGGGTTAGTTGTTCATGGGGTGGGTGGAGCGGTAGGGCATCCGGGTTAGTTGTTCATGGGGTGGGTGGAGCGGTAGGGCATCCGGGTTAGTTGTTCATGGGGTGGGTGGAGCGGTAGTGGTTAGGTCATGGTGGGTTGGTTAGTTGTTCATGGGGTGGGTGGAGCTTGGGTTGGTCCTGGAGCAGAGGTGGTGTTGGGGGTTTCAGTTTCAGGCTGAGAGATCTTCTTCACTGAAACCACGAAACCTGTGGTGTTGAGCTGCTCTCGAAGAAACTGCAACAGAGAAAAAACAACACGGATCCATTTGTTTGTGTGAAGAAGAGAGAGAGAGAGAGAGAGAGAGAGAGAGAGAGAGAGAGAGAGAGAGAGAGAGAGAGAGAGAGAGAGAGAGAGAGAACACCACAGACAGACAGAGCTGTTTAATGTCACACTGTGGAACATTCCAGGCAGAGCAATGACATATCCACAGAAACAAGCAGGTGATGGACCCACAACCAAAAAGTTACATCATGCACCTTTAATTCTACAACTCAAACCTTACATGAGTTAAAAAAAAAATAAAAATACATATTTTTTCTGTTCTTTCCAGAGGACACCTTTCAGAGACAGATTGTGGAGAGCATGATCACTCCAGATGGAACAACATCAGTTTTGTTTTGCTGTGGAAACATCGTCCCCTGAGGGCACAAGGAGCCAGTCAGTGTGGGTCCTTGGGTAAGACCATCGTGCTACTGCCCACCTCAAACACCACCGATGATGAGAGACAAAGAAACTTATGAGGTGCAGCTCAGACAAACCAAACAAGGTCTGCACCAGGAGCTGGAGAACCAGAGCACCTGATGAAAAATGAGCTACTGGAACAAGGAGGAAATGGGTGAGATGCGAGAACAAGGCGCTACTACTACAATAACCCGAGTCAGACGGTTACATGAACAGGACGTGAGAGAAATGGTCACGTCGATACCCACATACACCAAAGGAGGAGGTACAGACCACAGACGCTCCTGACCCTGCACGGACAGTTCATCCCAAACCCAGAGTGTGGAACCACTGTCCAGGAGGAAACATCCAAGCTCCATGAGAACATCAAGGACAAGATGAGGAGCTCAGAGAAGGTCTCAGACAGTGGGGTCCAGAGGAAGAGGAGCTGGAGGAACCATCATGGCAGGACCAGACCCTACATGAACCATCGGAACAGAACTGAAGTGGCTGATATCAAGAAATCCTCCCAATGTCTTGAGAGGGTCTGAAGGACACACAGAGGCTCATCCTGGAGCTCAGGAGCAGGACCTGAGCACCAGAGCAACAGAGGCCCAGATCTACCACACCAGACCAGAGCCACGGTGTCGACTGTGCAAAGAGGCTCCTGAGACAGTCCAGCACAGAACTGCAGGTGTCAGATGCTGCAGGGAAACAAACATGGAGCCACAGAACAAAGAGGAGCCACAGTCACAGAAACATCTGTGCAGAGTACGAACTGGAGACCCCAAGGTCAAGGTGGGAAACACCTCCAAAGATTGTGAAGAATGACCGAGAAGATCCTGTGGGACTTCAGATACAGACTGACAGGATGGAGATGGACAAAACAACATAATGGAGCTGGAGAAGAAACAGAGCAGAGTCGTGGTGGAACATCACAACACCAAGAGATGGTAATATCAGGGAAAAGGAACACGAGAAACTAGAGAAATACCAGGGACTTGAGGAGGAGCTGGAGAAGGTTTGGAAAGTGAAGGCATCAGTGGAGCCTGTGGTGATCGGACACTCGAGGCTGTAACCCCCAAACTGGAAGAAACTCCAACAGATCCAGGAAAAACAACAGAACATCTCAGTCCAGAAAAGAACAGGACAGAAACAGCAAAGATACTGAAAAACTCTCAAACTCCCAGACTCTGGTAGAGGAGCCGAGCTGGATGAGGGAGAGAGAACAACCACCGAGGAAGGTGAGGAGCACATTTATATATATAGATATATATGTGCTAAATGTGCAGGGTTTGTGTCTTAAACATGTGGGATTGAAACAAAACATAACTCCAGGTCTATTTGTGAGAAGTGTAACATTTGCGTGTCACCTGGAGGACGGCTTCAGACAGCGTCGCGTTGCTGAGATCACCAAGTGAATTCACCGACATCTTCAGGAAAATAAATGAGCCGGAATCTGTTCAAAAAAATGAAATGAAGTGTGAGGCAGCTGCAGTCCAGTGTTGGGAGATAATGAAGTACAGGGGCCGGGGCACTCGCTCGCTGCTCTATCCACCTCTGCTCGCTCGTTTCTGGGTGTAAAAGTTTCACCTGCAGAGGGTTTAAGTCCACCTGGTGCCCTAGTCCTAATATGGACTGGTCAGATTTAAGTGGGAAGTGGGATTAAGACGAGTTTTACAACAGGACAGTGGAGAGAGGAAACACTCTGCTTCAGTCTCTGGAGAAATCAAGAGGCTTGTTTTAGTTATAGTTATTAAAGTTATAGTTATAGTGTCAATAGTAAAATAAAGAATATATTTATAATTTTGGCCCAGACTTTGACATGCTGGTCTTATATGATTAACATTAGCATCAGTTATAAATACGTAATACAAAAAAACTCAAATATGTTCGTCTGTAATATTTTTTATTGGAAAAAAAAAAAACAAATATGGAGACCCA